TGAATGAGCATGTATACATGTGTGTTGAGTGTGAGTATATGTGTCTATGTGTGGACCTGAAAGTGAGTACATGTATGCATGCAAGTGTGTAACTGAATGTGCGTACATGTGTGTTGAATGTATGCACATAAGTGTGTAATCATGCGTGTATCTGTGAGGGTGTTGAGTGTGGGCATGTACATGTGTGCATGTGTGAACACTGTGTGTGGGGGGGTTTCAGAACGAAGGGAGGAGAACCTGAGGCGGGAGACTGAGGCCTTGACCCTGTAGTGATGGGTGTATACTTAACACGAGAGCGTGTGCATGACGGGCACGCGGGGAGTGGAGAACCGGCGAGCCCGGAGAAAGGGGACAAGCGAGGGGCCTCAGCAAAGGTGTGAGTCTTCGAAGCCCTTAGTTCCAGCCTGTAGGACGGAGGGTTTGGAAACGCCCTTCAAAGCACCGAATTCCCTGGGTGAGAAAACCATCAGCAGTTTAAACAAACAGGCTGGTTTCACGCAAACACGCTATTTTAAAAATGAAGCCCTTCCAAGATGCACATTGCATGAAGCTGCATTTTGTACAAAGAATTTCCAGATTTTCCAAAAGGCCCCAGCCAAGCTTTACAGATTTCACACTTTGATACGGCTTTAAAGGAACCACGGAGAGCAGCGCTTGCCCGTGCGCCACCGCGGCCGGGGGGCGGCGCTTCCACGCCGGCCAGCCAGCGCCAGCCCGCCCCTGGCGCGCAAGGGCCCGCGCACCCCTTCCTGAGGCCATCCCAGCGGCTCAGTCACGCAGCCACGGCAAGGCGGCCGGGCCTGGGAACACTCCCTGTCCTCACAGCCTGCGCCGAGGCAAGACGCAGCCCCAGGACAGCAGGAAGGGACGTCTGTCCGCGCAGTGTGCGTCCGTATCCTCTTCCCGGGTTGGACCCTCTGGCAGAAGCCAGCCATTCGGGAGTTTCTGTGACGTTTCCACAAAGCAGGAGAAAAAGTAAACCTGTGTCAAGACCAGGTTCAAGAAACTTTTTGTCAAACAAAACCAAGCTTTTTGTAAGAGGGGTTGGAAAAGAAGAAAAGGCCTGCTGGTGTTTTCTTTAAAAACCCACTAACATTATTCAGTTAATAAACATCGGAACATGGGCATAAAGATGAGATCGCAGAAACCTCCTGCACGAGCTACGAAACTTTGAGGGAATAAGAGAGACCAGCCTGAGTCTGGGGAGCGTGAAACGTTACAGGCGGGGCACCCGGTAGTGTCTTCGTTGGCGGCTCTGGCTGACTTCTGCTGTTTGTGAGTGCACTAAGGTCTGAGTGGTGGTGGTGCACCAGCGAGTCAGTGCCAATTTGCAGAACGGCCTCACAGGGTCTCCAAGGCTGTGATCTTCAAAGAAGCAAAGCCCAACCCAAAGCCACTGCTGAGGAGTTGATTCCCACTCACAGCGCCCCTAGAGGAGAGTAGAACGGCACCACAGGGTCTCGAAGGCTGTCAGTCTTCACGGAAGCAAAGCCCAACCCACACCCACTGCCGTGGAGTCCATTCCGACCCACAGCGCCCCTAGAGGACAGAGTGGAACTGCCCACAGGGTCTCCAGGCTGTCAATCTTCACAGAAGCAAAGCCCAAACCACACCCACTGCC